TCAAGAAGTATATCCTTCATCCTTATAACTTAACAAGTGAGTAGACATTGTTATCCCATTTTACAGATAAGGAACTGAGGCTTGGAGAATGCTCTCACCTTCTCAAGTTTCCACAGGTAGTAAGTGGGATGGGACCCCAGGATGGTCTGCTTCATTAGGTTAATGGGGAGATAATGGTGGTTAGGATCCAACAGGAGGTAGGGTGACAGGGTGGAAGAGAGAAGGGGCATCACTAGGGCATGGCCAGGGATTGGGGAAAAAGGTAATAGGTCATTGGATTGTTGTGGGTTCCATTAAGACTCTGTAGCGCCCTGGTGGCATACTGGATTACGTGTTGGGCTACCAACTGCAAGGTCAGCAGTTTGAATCCACCAGCTGCTCTATACAAGAAAGAAAAGTCTTTCTTTGACAACCTCAGAAACTCTATACAGGGTTGCTATGGGTTGGAATCCACTTGATGGCAGTGGGTATAATAAGGCTGTGTAAGGTTCCGGGGTGGCACAAATGGTGTGCCCTTGATTACTAACCTAAAGGTTGGTGCTTCAAACTCACTCAGTGATATCTTGGAAGAAAAGCCTGGGAATCTGCTTCAAAAAACCCCAAACCCACTTCATCAACTCGATTCCAATTCACAGGGACCCTGTATAGGGTTTCCAAGGCTATAAATCTCTACAGAAGCAGAGAGCCTCATCTATCTTCCAGGAAATGTCTGGTGGGTTTGAATTACAACCTTGTAGTTAGCAGCCCAGTGCTTAACCTACAGAGCCACCAGGGTTCCTCCCAAAAGAAATCCTTTAGAGTTTTACTCTGTAACACATGAGATAGCCGAGTCAGAAGTGACTTGTAGAAAATAAACCCAGGAGGGGCGCTGTGGGATAAGCACTGGGCTGGGACTGGTAACCGAAAGCTCCGCAGTTCAAACCCACCAGCTCAGAAACCTACACAAGGTTTAACAGACTTGACGGCACGCAACAAACGGATTTGCTTTGGTGTTTGAGACATGTAGTCCCTCGCTTTCTCTAGGTAACTATTTCTTCTCAGTCACCCCAGCGTGGGGGCCGTGGGGGCTAGATTCTGCGGTGACTAGGGAGAGTGGAAAATATGGGGAGAGAGGGTGGATCCTGCCTTTTTAAACGGACATGATGGAGCCTCAGCCGCAGGGAGCTGCTCCCTCCCGTTAGCTAGATGCCTCCTGCCCTGTCTGGGCCTCCCCAGCTGCCTAAGGTGACCGGTCTTTTAACCACAATCTGGGCGAGCTGCATGGGTCCCTCCGCCCCCTTTCTCTTTTTCTTCAGCCAGGGAGAGAGTGCACTGGGCCGAATGCTTCGCGGATTTTTTTCCCAGAGACAGTGAGGGGAAGTGGCCTCTGGGCATGACAAGGATGGCGACAACCTCTTGGAGCCTCTCTGAGCACTTGGACTGAGAGGAAAGGAAGACCTGGGCGCCGAGAGGCGGTTTCAGGCGCCCCCTCGGGCCGAGCTCTGTGCAACAGGGGTGGAACGAGGCGGCGTCGCTGTCCGCTGGCTGGGCACCACCTGGGCGGAGCTAGTGGGTCCCGGAAAGATGGTTTGCGGACACTCCTGCTAGACAGCAAACCTGACGCTCAATTGGGAGCATCCTCCTGGGTAATGACGGGGTCATGGGACCGCAAAGGTGCCACTGAAGGGCAAACTCAGCACTCTGAGCCATCCTGCAGGTAGTAGGCCGGGTTTAGAGGAATCCTCTTCCCAGAGCTGACCCGTGCCTGGAGCTGTGCCCGGAGCTGACCTGGACCTCGCCAGTAGATGAAATCCAGGGCCCCGGAGGGCGGGGCCAGGGCGGGGTTGAAATTCTCCCGGCAGGTGTGCGGCGGGGGGGGGGGGGGCAGGGGGCGGTACCCAGCCCTGCCCCTGGAGGCCGTTCTTGAAGGCCAGAGGCGGGTCAGACAAGCGGACAGTGCGGGCGACTCCCTGGAGTCTCTGGGCGCCGACCGCAGCCACAGGTGCAGCGCGGGGCACAATATACAAACTCTTGACATCAAAATCCCGGCGTTGGTAACAGAGGCTGCCAAACTGCTCCAACGCTGGACACCGAGGCCCCCGGGCCAGAGAACAGAGTCCTGGGGTCGTCTGAAGAGTGGAGTCACGAGCCCCCTGGGCCAGACATTGAAGACACTGAAGCTGCCTCAGAGGAAAACACCGAAGTCACCAAGGCAGGAGGTGAGGTCCCCGAACCCTCTGCCGAGCAGAGGGCCGAGACTCCTGCGGAAGAAAGTGAAGTCTGCGGGTTACCAACAGGGCGGGACGCAGAGGCTCCCGGGTCATCCACAGTCAGTGGCTCTGAGAACCCAAAGCCGGGCAGCGAAGAGCCCGCGCCTTCCGAAGCTCCGAGCGCTGAGGTCTCAAGGCAGTATCCCTCGCAGGATCCCGATACTTCATCTTCAGGGTCAGACCCGGAAGCCCCCCAGACGCGTTTCCCACCGTGCCTCGAGGCTAGCTCTTCGTCTCCGGAGGAGCAACTCATGGAAACACCCATCGAGCGTGAAATACGGCGCAGTTGCGAGCGCGAGGAAAGCCTGCGCCGCAGCCGAGGCCTGACCCCAGGCCGTGCGGGCAGTGAACTCGTGGAACTGCGCGTGCGGCCAGTGCTCAGCCGACCCGGCCCGGGTCCCGCGCTCCCGCGTTCCTTGGAGCGCGCGCGAGCCGGCGCGCAGATGCAGCGAGACATCCAGAGGGAAGCCCACCGCCAGGCGGCGCTAATGCGCACCACCGCCCCAACGCCAAACCCCCAGCCAACGCAGCAGCCCCTAGGCGAACTCAGACGATTCTTTGAGAGCTCTGGAGAGCGCAGTCCCGTGGCGGCGGGCGGTTCGGGCCCACAGCAGCTTTCTGAATCCCTAGGCCAGAGGCGCTTGGCCGCACAGGGCCAGTGCCCGGTGCTGGCCCGTGCCCCGCAGTTCGCCCAGCTTTCACTGCTGGAGCAGGAGGTGCGCGAGGTGCACGAGCGCGAGCGGGAGCTACAGCACTTGCGGTGCAGCCTCTACGGCGCTGCGGAGTTCCAGGAGCCTGCGCCGAGCCTCATGGGTGAGGGATTTTCGCCATACTCCCTGACTGTCCCAACTCTAGAACCCCTCATCTGACTATTTCTTGGGCTCCCCTTAGGGTTCAGACACCTGTGACCCCTCTCAATTGTCTCCTGCCCCCCCTCTGCACTTCCCTCCCACACAGTGGGTATTCCACTTTTCACCCTGAGTGTCTAACTCCAAAATCTACCTCCCTAGGCTTAAGGTTTCCAGGTGACTTCATGTTGGATTCCAAGGACCCCTACCTCTCTTCTGTCTTCCTGGGTCCTTTCTCAGAACTATCGGGCTCCTGCTTCCCTCAGGTTTCTGGGCCCCCATAGCTGGATTGAGGCATCCATGGGGAGCGGGGGTGGGGGTGGGGGGGTGGCTAAACATGTGTGTGTGTGTGCGTGTGTTTAAAGGGTATTGGCCGGCCTCCTGTGCCTTGACCACCTGGCTTAGTGGCCCCTTTTGCTGCAGGGAGTTCCCGCGATGGAAAGCTGGCAGTTATCTGGCCCCCTCGAAGAAAGGCTTCGGAGAACGGCCTGTAGGAGGTAGGATCCCCTTATCCCTGTGTCCGAGTGCTTGTAGGTTCCTCTCCCAGAGGGTCAGGGAAGGTGCTTGCGCACTCCCGCTAAGGCGCCATCCTGGGCCAGAACACAAAGGCCGGGGCGTCACCTCAAGGTAGAAAGGAGGCTGTGGGCCTGAGGCCCAAACTGCCCAGTCCCTGAGGCTGGCCTTCTGTCTGGCCCCCCTCTCCCCAGGAGGCGCTCAAGCACGAAGGACCTGGCCGCAGGACCAGAAGTGCCTCCAGGATCGCGGGGAGGTCTGGAGAGGGTTCAGCCTTTAGCTCTGGGGATGATGAAATACACCCATCCATTCTAGAACCTGACTTTGTGAAATTGACCAGTCCTTTCTATAAAACTGTATAGTCGCCTTCCACGTAAGTGAAACTGTCCAGCCCCTCTCCGTGTAATTCTGCAAACCCAACTACCCTCTCGTTGAGGCCTTCATTGTCAGAAGTCCAGGGTCACTGCCTCAGTTGCCCCCCACTCTAATAAAGGCCCTTCTTCTTGGGCAGTGCAAGCTGTTTTCTTCTGGGTTCTCTTCGCTTGGGGTGGTGCTGGAGCTAGCTAGACAAGCAGAGAGGAGGTCTAAAAAAGCCCGGGGAGGCGTGGTCGGGAATGAGGGCAGGCACTCTTACAGCTGGTTACTCAGCTGCTCACTGCCCCCCTTTCGCTCCCCCCCCCCCCGCCCCTACCGCCTCCTGGCGGCGCAGGCACAAACGACAGCAGTCGGATCGACACACTCAGACTCTCTAGCCTTGTCTCTTAGTCATAATTTATTGGTGTCAGCGGCCCCGCTCTGAACACTGGCTTGACACAGATGATAGGAGACTGGTCTTGCTCTGGGGATATCAACAATGGCTGTTCCCACTCCCCAAAAAAAGTGGGGCGGTGCAAGCGTTTTAGCAAAGCATGTTAATAATGTGTCCAGCAGTTGCAAAGCTAGGATGCCTACTGGGGCCAGGCAGATACTAAGAAGAAATGGGTCTGCTGTGAAGCAATAGGGAGGGGTGGAGCCTACAGTGTGCTGGAAAACGAAAATAGTGAGCTTTCGCTTTTCATAAGCAACTGGAAATCCAGTTTCCAAAAGAGAAATCTATTGAACTTTAAATGATTGCAACTATTTTCTTAAAAAGCTTTAAAAATGGTTGAGAGATGGGGGAGGCCCAAATACCACCTGTTTACAGTTGTTGTTAAGTGCCGTCGAGTCGGTTCCGACCCATAGCGACCCTGTGTAGGGTTTCCTAAGAGCAGCTGGAGAGCTTAAACCGCAGACCTTGCAGTTCAAATGGCTTTGCAGTCTGGCGCATTAACCCACGGCGCCACACCAGGACTCCCCTGTTTGCAGTTGAGCCCTGTTTATGTGCAAACCCTGGATGATTTCTCTAGGTACTGGGGCAAGAGTTTCAAGGTCTCCTGGGTAGAACTGAAAAGCACGGGGAGGCGTGGTCGGGAATGCGGGAAGGTGCTCTTACAGCTTGGTTACTCAGCTGCTCACCACCCCCCCACCCCACCTGTGAACACTCTTAAGTGGTTATAAAACTGTATGTGCTCATATTCTGAGGAATGCAGCTGTCTTTTAACAAACAGCTTCTTGGAGATGCATTGTTTAAATTAGTGAACCCCTTGCCTACTACTCATGGTGACTCCATGCACAAAATCAGCCTGTTGTGATCCCTAGGATTTTTACTGGCTGATTTTCAGAAGTAGATGACCAGACCTTTCTTCATAGTCCATCTTATTCTGGACACTCCACTAAAGCCTGTTACACATGAAGTGCTTTGGCCTCAAACTGAACCCAGGTCTCAAGCACTGTTGTTAAGTATCATTGGGTTGGTTTTGACTCATAGTGAGCCTATAGAAGGTGTCTGAGGAGCAGCTGGTAGGTTTGAACTGCCAACCTTGTGGTTCACAGTCCAGTGCTAATCCTACAGTGTCACACCAGTCTCAAACATTAAGTACCATAGAATCAATTTTGACGCATAGTGACCCGTGTAGGTCACCTGAGGTGTGGCTGGTGAGCTTGAACCGCCAACCTTGCAGTTCAAGCCAACCTTGAAGTCCAGCACATTAACCCACAGCGTCACACCAGGACTCCAGAACCACCATGCCTTCTGTTTAAACTTCTAGGTCTGTATAACTCTGTATGCCCTGGGCCAAGCAATAGGCCTGCCCCTACATTAAGAGCAGGAAATGGCTAATGAAGAATGAATTCATAAGATAGAGAATGGAAAAACTCACACAGTACTGCATCCAAAAGCAGCTCAATCCAAGAAGGGCCTGCCCCTTGATCCCATCATGAGCACACTGACCACATGATGGCTTGATCATGGCATTGTGATAGTCTGGAGACAAGGACAGGAGAGAGACAAAGGCCGTCAAGGGGAGAAATAGATACAGCCAGAACTTGTTTCTAATTCCCAGAAGGGGAGCTAAGAGCTAAGCATGTGAAAAGTTGAACAAGGTATGTATACAGGACTGCCTTAGTGTAGGCTGGGAATTCTTGCTGTTGCTATCTAGTGATTCTGACTACAGTGTCATGATGTTGTTAAGTGCCACTGAGTAGGTTCCAACTCATAGCGACCCGTATAGGGTTTCTGAGGAGTGACTGGTGAGTTGGAACCTTGCAGTTAAACCGACCTTGCAGTCCAGTGCTTATCCTACAGCTCCACATCAGGACTCCATCCTATCACTATAGGACAGTAGACGTGCCACACAGAGTTTCATAGGCTGCCATCTTTATGGGAACAGATTGCAGGTTTTTTCTCCTGTAGAGCCACTTGTGGGTTAAAAGCGAGACTTCTCTATTTGAACCTGAGTGCTTAACCTTTATGCCACCAGGGCGCCCTAATTAAATCAGAATCTGAGGGAGGAGTTTTAACATCAGCATTTTTTTTTTAAAGCTCTTCAGGTAGGTCTGACTTGCAGTCAAGTTGGAAATTATACTGTAGATAAGGACAAAGAACAGTGCTGGGACCGGCTGTAGTAGCATCACCTGGAAACTTGTTAGAAATGCACATTCTCGAGCCTCACCCTACAGCTAGAACAAACTACCACTATTCTGATACAGGGTAAAGTCTGAGAATGTGAGTGGAAACAGAGCAAAACAGAACCCAGGAAATCAGGCCCGTTTCCTTCCCCTCTTGAAGTATTGCCACCACCCACCGGAAACCTTAGCCTTAAGTGCTATGCGGATTTGTCTTAAGAGAGGCAGTCTAAAGCTGTGCTGTGGCCAGACTTCAAAGACTTAATAGTTCTGTTTTTGTTTTAATATCTCGAACTTTGTTACACTGATGGATGTTGAAATATTTTTGCTGTGTTGGATAAAATACTCAAATAATTTGGACTTTTTGTTTTCAATGTGGCTCTGTAGGATAAGCACTGGACTGTAAACCACAAGTTTGGCAGTTTGAGCCTACTAGCCACTCTGCTAGAGACAGATGAGGCTTTCTGCTCCCACAGAGATTTATAGCCTCAGAAACCTTGTACAGGGTCCATAGCTCCTACCCACACCCAGTAACAATGCTTGAGACCTGGGTTCAGTTTGAGGCCAGAGCACTTTATGTGCAGCCACCACCTGTCAATCAGTGGAACTATGTTGCTGGATAGGCTTCAGTGGAGTGTCCAGACAGATGGACGGCAAAGAAAGGTCTGGTCATCTACTTCTGAAACTCAGCCAATGAAAAGTCTAGGGCAACAGGCTGATTTTGTACATGGGGCCACCATGAGTAGTATAGGTAAGGGGTTGACTAATTTAAACAATGAATCTCCAAGAAGCTGTCGGAACCTACTCCATGGTACTCGACAACGCCTTTGAAACTTACATACTTGTATGTTGAGTGATTTATATTTCTATTGGAAAGTGCAGGTCTACAGAGTCTTAAGCTTGCAGAAGCCATAGGTGCTACAGGGAGCTTCAGAGACCCCTTGAATTCATTCAGACTTGGGCTGGTCACTAAAAATATTCATGGTATATTCAGAAAATTGTCACCAGAAGACCCTGTGATATAACAAGAACTTTGGTGTCTGATCCTGCTTCACTATTTTCTATCTGTTGACTCACTTCACCTTTCACCTCCGTTTTCCTCGTCTGTGAAATGGGGCTGATAGTCTATGAGCCAGAGACTAGTAGGGAGGCGAGTACTTTGCTCAAAAGCCTTAAGGGCAGGGCTCGAGGTCTTTCCAACTCTAAAAATGTCGACGGCAGTGGGAGTAGAGACCAAAGTGTACCTTTGTTTAAAGGGGAAACACAGATAATATCCAGGTCAGGAAGGACACTGGTCCCTCCTGGCACCGTTGTTTTGGACAGGTAGGTTCACTTCTCTCAACCTGGATCTCCTTGTCCATTACAAAGGTGGGGTGAGACTTAGAGAGCCAAAGTTGGAATTCCTTACAGCACTCTCACATCCTGCTCGCACCCCGGAGACTCCGCGGAGGGACAAGCGACTCAAAAGCTGGAGGAGGTAGGTGTGACCTCCGTCCTTTGGAAACTGATCGCGGCCCTATCCAGAAGCAGGTCGGGAGATGGAGTCTTTTGCGGTTGAAAGAAGTCAGTTCCGGGTCAAAGTAAGAAATGGGTGGGACTATAGCGCCTACCCACACCCAGTAAGCGTTGAATTTCCTGGCTACCCGAAACTCGCGATTTTCTGACTTCCGATTGCTGACTGGCGCCGCTACTTTTTTTGGCCTCAGGTGCACCGCTACGCGTGCGCTGTGCTCTAGCTGCTTAGCTGCGTACTACTTTTGTCACTAAAAACTACTTCTCCCAGAAGACCACGCGAGTGGGCGGGACCCTCCCGCCCCCAAGGAGAGGGGCGCGGCGCTCCTAGCAGACGCTGAGCCTCTAAACTCTTTTATTTAACACAAAAAAATGGCGTGTGCACACCTGGGGCCTCGCGGCCGTGTTGGCGTCGCTTCTACATGACCCTCTGGGAGGAGAGGCAGGGCTACACTAAGAGACGAGTGAGCCCCTGCCCTGTCCCTTCTGGAGTTTCGAACTGTCAAGCTCCAGCTCCCACCCACCCCCTTCTCCCACCACCCCTGGTTCAAGATCCCTGCGCAGCCCACGCCGTGGGCCCCGCCGCACTCGGGGACCGGACAGTGCCTGCCTGGCCAGTGAGGATCTGCACCAGCAAGTCAGTGGCCAGCATGTGCGATGGCTCCTCGAAGCCGATGGTCAGCAGCTGCTGGTAGTCCCCAGGGGGCTGCGGGCACAAAATCCTGGGAGCCGGGAACAGACAGGCCCAGATGTGAGCACCCTCTGCCCTCAAACGAGAGACCTTGTTTTCACTGAGGATGGGAAAACCTTAGGGAACAGTTGTTTCCTTGTTGATGAGAAAACCAAATGAGACTGGTTCCAGGAAGCTGTCCTGACCCTGGTCAGTGAACTCAGTTAGCTGTGTGTCCTTGGAGAGGTAACCTAACCTCTCTGAGCACCTGTTTCCTTCTCTGTGAAATGGTTCCAGTAGTCTGGACCTCAGTGAGTTGTTATGTGACTCTTCATAAAACATTTGTAAGGTTACAATAAAATGCTATCATTATTACTAAGGGAAGCCAATTAAAGTGTTAAGGAAGAAAGTAGCTGATCTTTGAGAGGTGTTTTTTGCCCGTCTCCCAGAACCCAAGCCTATCTTGCCATTGCCCTCCTACCATGAGTAAAGATCATCGTCGATAGGTCCTAGGGGCACCCATCGTCCAATGGACCACAGCTTCTGGATCTGGGCGCAGGAGTTTGCTGGACTCTTGCCTGTGTCTTCCCATGTGTCTCGATAGCACAAGAAGTAGCTGGGAGGGAGGCGGTAACAATTAAAAGCCATCAGTTTCCTAGCCTTTTCTTTTGAGGGCTTTGTTTTGGAGTTGAGATGGAAACTTATCAGAAGTTACCCTGAAGTTCTAAAGTAGGGAAATGACTCAACATTTGAGGGCATTTTTCCCCTGCCAGCCAGTTTTTAAGATGAGGACTCTTATTTTGATGGGCAAATGAGTTTTTTTTTTTTAAAGGTGGGGATGGCTTTTCAAAGGCCCTCACTTTCCTGGCTGGCTTTTCACACTTGGTGGTAGTGGTGTGTTGTCGGGCCCATATCTGCATTTATGCAGAGGGAGGGGAGCCCTTTGATTTTGTCAGGGGGACTCACTAATCCACATGGGAATCTTGTTCCCGGCTGCTGGGCTCTGGGGTCTTCTCCAGGTTCCAGCGCATCTTCTTGTAGAGGTATCTGGGGAAGCGGCTGGCCGTGTAGGCAGCTGGGGCGCAGTATCTGAAGATGGATACCTCATGGGAAGGGCTAAGGGAAAATCTCCCACAGAAGAAACAGGAGATGCTGGCAGGAGATGGGAGAATGAGGGGGGAGGCTGAACTCTGGGCCCCATTGCCCCTTCCCACTTCCCTACCCTTTTACCTCAGAGGGTCAGTCTCTTCCAGGTTTACAAACCCAAAGGACGCATACATGAGGACCAGCTGTTCTAGACGCAGGGTCAGCTGTTGGGAGATCTCTAACAGCTGCATGGAAGAGGGGTCATCATGAGAGCAGCAGCCTTGCTGGGAGCACCCCCCAGGCCTGAGACTGTGTCAGGAAGGGTATGTGGGGTCCAGAAAACCTGCTCCACACACCCCCTTTCGAATGAACTCCTGCAGGGCTCCATAAATGGGGGGTACACTCCGAGCAGCCGCCTCCAGGTACAGGAAGTAGGGCCCACACATCTTTAAGAAAGTGGGCATGGCCTTTGCCAGCTGTTCCTTCTGTACTCTGTCCCTGCTAGAGAGAAAAGGGGACTTTTACCTGAGGTCCCTGAATGCCCCAATTTCTCCCATGAGTCTCACCACTTGCATTCCTGACTTGACCCCTTCAGGAAACCTTCCTGGGCCAGACCTTCAGTATCACCTGCCTCAAAGCCCACACCTGACTTTGACTCAACACACCCTCCCCAGGGGAATTTCAATGGATGCTTGAAATTTGAGAACCATCACCCTAGTAATTACCTTTTCTCAGGTCAAGTAATCAGATTATCCTTTGGGGTCTCTCAAACTGGTGACCCTTGGGGCCAAATCTTGCTCACATGGGTTTTATTAACATGCAGAAAGTTCAAAATCTGAGCTGACATATACAAAATCCTGGAGATTTGGCAACATCAGGTCCACACTGCCTCAGGATAGGTCTCTCTCCCACCCTCAGTTCTACACAATTCTCATGACTCACCTATATCGGCTTCCTAATCTGTCAGCTTTTATTTATTGCCTGTACCTGGCTCCTTCTACTTTTGAGTTTGGGACTAGTATGTGTACGAAACAGATCACCCTGTCTTCAGAGCCTCCTCACCCATTACCTCGGGCCCGACGTCCTGTGTCACCTGTAAAGCAAGTAGCTCTGGAAATCATCTGCCTTCTTCAGTAGATAGTGGAGCTGGTCGGTGATGGGGCTGAACATGGTTTCTAGGGGTAGGCCTGAAGCAGCCAATTCGGGTCCCGGAGTTACAGACTCCGGGGACGAAGTGGAGGCAGGGACCTCTGGCAGGGGACCCTGAGCATCCTCGGGCTCCAGTTCAGCGGGGTCCGCAGGCCTGTCAGGGGACGTTGACCACGAATGGTTTCCGCAGGGCGGCGCTCCAGGTTCCAAGTCCTCTGGGGGTGGTGTTTCCCCAGGACCTGGGGGTAGCGGCTCCAGAAACCACTGCTCTGTAGCCATCGCGAGGAGGGAGGAGGAAGGGCGCCCTTTAAGGCGCCGCCGCGCACGTTGGCCGAAGGTTCGACTCCGACCCAGGAGCTCCGGGAGTTTCGGAGCCAGGGATTGCCCGGGTTTGCAGCGCAGCCCCCTCCAACTCGCCCCTGCCTCGACCTCTCAGCCGGCGGCGCCGCGCCACGCCGCCTAAGGGAGATCGCCTCATTTGAATTTCAACTCGCGGGAGGGGCGCGCGCCCGCGGGGCCCCGCGCATACGCGCGCTCCCTGGCCTGGGCGGACGACCTGTGCCAGCGCTGGCGCGGCCATATCCTGGCAGTGTAAACCGGGCCCTTCTCTTTGGGAGTTGGTTTCCTAGGGAAGAGGGATCTCTAACATGAGTTCAAACCTCTGGCGCAAGTATAATGGATGTCCAGCCCCAACCCTCAGACCCTGACTCCCCAGATTCTGGATCCTGTATTTTTTAAATGCTAATTGAGTTGAGAATCTGCCTTGTAACTTAGTACTGTGGAGTTGAGTCGATTCCGACTCATAGCGACCCTGTTTTCCAAGAAGCAGCTGGTGGATTTGAACTGATTGTAAAGTATTAGCTGTTACTAACAACAAAAATTAGCCCAATTTCTTTTAGACCTTTTCTGCAGCAAATGTTAAGACCTGAAGACGCAACCCTGGTCCCAGAATGGACTTCCGTCCATAATTGTACTCTGTAGTCTTCCAAAATGCATGATAGCTTTGAAGTCAAATGCATTAATTTATCAGGAGCCTTTGGGTCAAGAACCCAGATTCCTTGGATGGTGATATGCTCTGTTACTAATCAAAAGGTTGTGATTAGAATCTAGCCAGTGGTGGCAATGTTAAGAAAGGTCTGGCAAACTACTTCTGTTAAGAATTGGTTAGTGCTTTGGGTCTGGTTCTGACTAATACTAACCCATTACAGCCATTAAAAACCCTATGGCCTGCAATTCTACTTTGATACACCAGTGGGATCTTTTAAGCCAATGACAATGGGTTTGGTTTTCTGGGTTGGGTAAAGAATGCAGACAGGTGTCACCCCATGCCCTGTGTGACCCTAAGTAAACACCTGAAGCCAGGCTAGTTGCTTCATCTGTAAAGTAGGTTTTATGAGCTCCTGCCTCATAGAGCTGCTAAGAGGATGAGAGAGAAAAGGCTTCTAGTCAAATGCTAGTTACTCCAAAACAAGCATTTGAGTACCTACTGTGTGTCAGGCACTGTTGGGGCCCAGAGAAAGACGTCAGAGAACAAAGCAGATAACCCCAGCCTTTCTGAACCCACCCCAACTCAAGTGTCATCCATTTCAACTAATAGTCACGCTTGTAGAACAGAGTACAGCAACTTCTTTGGGTTTCTGAGACTGTAAATCTTTATGGGAGCAGACATCTTTCTCCTAAGAAGCTGGTGGATTTGAACCACCTACCTTGGAATTAACAGCTCAACACTCACCCCAATGCACCATCAGAGCTCCTTTGTTGTCCTGGAGGAGTTACCCCTTTCTTATTCTAGGCTCTGCTCAGAGGCTGGTGGGCTGCCTCTTCAACTGCTCAGTCCCCGAACCCATTCATAAAACCGATTCTCTGGCCTGTTTTCTTTTCTTTTTTTTTTAAAATTTTATTTAAAAAACCTCCGGTGCAATATTAAAAAGCAAGACAGCCAGCTGGAGCAACGACCAACAGAAAGAAAGGGGGGTGGGGAAGACCCAGTGACCCCACCCCAGCTTCTCACAGAGCCTTGAGGCCAGGAGACTGGGAAGGGGCAGGGGTGGTGGGAGAGGGAGTAAAGGCCACCCACCCACCAAAATGAATAGGCAGAAGAAAACATTTATATAGGAAACATCTGGCTGAACTGAGTAGGATCACAGGGAGATGGGAAGCCCCCTTTTTACATAAATGTCCTGGGATGGGGGTGGTTAGCCTTTTGGGATGAAATGGGCAGGCCTTGTCCCACCTTACACCCCAACATGGAGTCCGAGATGTGCTGGGGGCTGAGACAGGGGGCACGCACAGGGAGATGAGTAGGGAAGTACCCCCTCACTGGAATCTGTTGTGAAACCTGAGGGTGTCTGTCCAGAAAGTCCTGGACTCTGGGGGCCTTGGGGTGAGATGGGGACTGGAATGGGTGGGTGAGCGGGAGCAGGGATGAGGCTGGGCGTTCAGCCTAGAAAGCCATCAGGGTCATCATCCTCAAAGTGGCCTTGCTGCAGCACCTTGATGTGGTGCTCATAGATTTTCAGGGCTGGACCAAGGCGGATAGATAGGCCGGTCAGAACATCAGTGCGCTGCATGAGCAGCAAAGACTTGCCATCGATTTCCTGGGCAGGACAGAGACAGCCAGATCAGAGCAGGCACCCATTGAGGCCCTCAGGACTTCAGGGTGTCTGGGTCAGGAGCTTACCTGTTCTTGGAAAGCTGTGGCCTGCTCAGGGAAGCCGGCTTCAGTGAAATATTCTACCACGTCCATCACTGTCCACTCCACGGGGTCAGCGGGCTTCTCCTTACGGCCGGAACTGCATCAAAAGAGGAGTCCGGTGAAGAGTGAAGCCCACTCTAGATCTGCTTAACATCTCTAACAGCATTCCCATGTTTCAAGTGCTCCAACTTACGGACAACTGAAGGGGGTTCCATCAGCCCCCGGTAGGGCTGGTTTTCCTGGGGGCAAAGGCACAGGGGACGGTGAATCTGGCCCAGTGGCAGCAGAGGCTGGGGAAGCAAAAAGCACCATTTATAACTTTGTCTTGAGGCCAGATTTCCTCCACCTGGCCCTCCCCCACCTAGAGACCTCTTTACCTGATCCCCCTTCCTTATTCATGGCTGCCATAGAAAAGGCCTGGCGGGTGCCACTGCTGGGTGCTGAGCCCCGCCCTTCATCTTGGCCCTGGTGGGGTCCACAGGGTGTCCACTCCTTGACCCTCTCCTTGACACTCTGAGAGGCCCGTTCGCCATTAAGCTGGTGGTGCTGGACACCTGCAGGACGGTCTCCCTCTGGCACCTCAGAGCATTCAGATACATCGTCTTCATCATCATCTTCATCATCATCATCTTCCTCCTCTTCTTTCTCAAGCACCCGCTCTTCCCCACCTCTCTAGAGCCAAGAAGATAGGTACACAAGGTTAACAGCTATTCTAGGATTGCACCCAGGTCTGGGCACCAGGCCTGAGTAGCGTGCCCAAAGCCACCTTTAATAATATGGACTAACTTTTATGCATTCACTTGGTGCCAGACCCTGTGCTAATAAAGTCCTCAGTAGTCCAAATCTCACTAAACTCGATCAACAACCCCAAGGGGTCAATATTATTACTAAGTCGCGTTTGCAGCGGAGTAAAGTGAGAATAGTGGAGATTAAGTCACTTTGCCAAGGTCACCACGCACCAAGCCCTCAGGGAAGTGGCACGAAGCGCCAGCCATCCTACCCCTCCTGGGACTCACACCTCAGCCACCAACTTCGCCCGCACCTGCCCGCCGCGCGCCGCCCCTCCTCTCTCGGACGCGCTCACCTTGCTCCGAGAAGCGCGGGCACCGGCGGCCGGCGGCGCCCGTCCGGGCCTGTCCCCGCGGGGTAGTGCAAGCGCTCCGAGACGGGTGCGCTCCAGGCGGCCCCGCGCCGCCTCCTCCTCCAGCAAGCCCTGCACGCGGCCGCGGGTTAGGCGGCCGCCGGCGCCTCCGCTACCCC